CGCTGGGAAGTCCCAGCAGTGCTTTCATTTTCAAGTCACGCACTTCTCTTGGTTTGTGCGGCCGCAGAGAGGGGCTCAAGTGAGTGAGAGCTGACCCACAGACAGAAGTTACAGATCGGCACTGCAGAATATCCCCCAAGTGCCTGAGAGTGCTCCAGGCAGCGGTCTGAATTGCCAGAGACGGGTGCTATGCCCAGATATATAGCTTTTAAAAATCACCTCGTTAGCTGATGCTTGTGCCCTTTCAGTTTTATCTTTCCTCAAGAGGATTTTCCAGCAGTTCGAGCAGGTGGTGTTGCTGCTATCCACAAGAATTCCTATTGTGTGCTCCTTACTACTGTACTCAGCTAATTTTATCCTACTAATCCTTTTTATATTTCTTTTTCCATTGCTTGGCACAGCCTTGGGTGCCCCATAAACATGTGTTTAAAAATAAATTTTCTCTTTCTCTCTTTTAAATGTCTGAGAAGTTAGAATGTACATTTGGCTCTCTGTAGGTTCTCCGTATGCCTGGATTCAGCCAACCTTGACTGAAAGTCATTGGAAAAAAAGTGCTTCTGTTCCGGCTGTGTACATGCTTGTCTTTACGCCTCAAGCAGCACAGTTGAGCTGCGGTTTGTGTAGCACGTACATCATAGTAGGTGTTATCTACAGGCTGGAGCTGGCTTGAAGTACATGGGAAGGTGTGCCTGGTTAACGTGCAAGCACTACATCACTTTATATCAGGGACGGGAGCACCCTTGGATGTTAGTGTCCTGGGGTCCTGTTACCCAGCCCCTGCACTCACTGAGGGACATCTCTGTTGTGTATCCGTGTCCTAGAATATGTGACATCTTTTTTTAAGCACTTAAAATCATACCACGATGTTAACAAAGGATGCTGCCCAGATACAGAAACGGAAAGTGAGAGTTGAATGGGGGAACATTGAAAAAGGAGAGTAATAATGATCAAGGTGTGATGTGCACCAATTCCTCAAGATGAGTGGAATCGTTACATACACCCATATGTCCCTCAAGAAAGTTAATACCACATCAACTCTGCCACTCAGAATTCAGAATGGTAAGGTACTTCAGGAACTCCTTGGGGACTTGGTTCTGTACCCAGTGCCATTGTCACAGCTGCCTCATCCTTCCTGTGGGCACTGTCATGAAAGTATCCAGACTTTTGCTTTGAAAAGGTAAAGCATGTCTTCTTTGTTTCAGAACCTTCCATGACTGGATCACAGGGAAAAACCGACCCAGCTCAGGAAGCCTGATCCAGGTGGTAACCACAGAAGGAAGGACGGAGCTTACCCCTGCGTATTTCTAAGCTTCTTCGCTGTGCCCAGGAAGAGCTTCCAGAGGAGCCACTAACCTGTCTCCGTATGCCCGCGCCCAGCCCTGTGTGTCCTGTTGTCCTGTCTGTGGTTCAAGGTGGCAAGTCCGGTTTCTGCTCACCTTCTGTGCGTCTGTTTTGGACATCATAATAATGTGTTTAGAGGAGCTGGCAGGTGCGACAGGAGGTGGCATTCGCACGGACAGACAGCCGAGGAGGTCTCCGAGTGACCCATCCACATTGGTGCCGGGTTGGATTGCTCTTGAGACTCATCTGCCCCTGACAGCGCCATCATCTTCATGAGCGTGGTGACATGTTGCTATTTGGGGCCTTTTGAGGGCCAGGTTACCCTTGAATGTCACATTTGTGTTGTAGATATAGTTTTAGTGGCCTTGAATTAAACTGCCTTAAAACTGTCTTTGTGGTGTGAGCAAAACATCCTGTAGACCCTGTCCAGGTGTTGTGTTTTGTGTGCAGTTGCCAACTGCCCCTGGTCAGGTGCTCTGTGCATGAGAGAACTGCTTGGGAGTCTCCGGAGTGGTTTTTTCTCATCCAAATAAATGTACTTCGCTCAACGTGTTGTCTTTAGCCAAACCCGGCCTTGCATGCAGCGGTTACAGATGTGTGATGGAAT